GCACAAGGCCGATTCCCAGCGTCTTCATGTTGGCTGCAACCTCTTCAATGTTAAGGTTCACTCCATTTAGCAGCTCCCGGAGAGCCTCCAGCTCCTGCTCTTGAGCTGTCCACGTGTCTGGTTCAGGCCACCGGGAGGTGGCTGGCACAGCTGACACCTGGGCTACCTGGGCCTCGGGCTCCACATGGAAGGTGAACTTCTCTGAATGTGTGAAGCGGGAGCCCTTTGGAGCACCAGCCGTGGTCCCAGCACCCCAGGCCTGCAGCAGCTCTCCCAAGTCCTGGGTTTGCTGGGGGGCCCCCAGCTGGCCCCAGGTCTGACGCAGATGCTCAGTCAGGTGCTTCTGCAGCCGCTGCAGCTGAGCCCGCCTATCCTGTGCGGGGAGGCAGGATGCCCGGTGGACCCAGGCCTTGTCCCCAGGGTGGTCCCGGGCTGTGTGCTGGCAGAGCTGGATGGCATGGCATTCGAGGAGCGAGGCCACCCTCCCAGCAGGCTGAGGCACCTGCGTGGGGGCTGGTAGTAGCAGGGAACTTGCCTGGAACTCCCGGGGCTCTCCTGTGGAACTCAATTCAGGCACGACCAGCGTCCTGGCATGGAAAGGATTCTGGGGGGCCGAGCCCTGGAGGTGCTGCAGCTTAGGAGTGCGAAGAAGGGGTGGAACCCAGGGCAGGGCCAGCTGGTCCCGAATGTGGCTCCCGATGGCCCAGAGAAGGATCGCTGAGTCACCTGCAGGCTGGTCTGCGTCCTCAGAGGCATCGGCAGATAGACGCTCAGCCAAGAAGAGAAGCAGGTCCCGGAGGTCAGGCTCACTGGGGTAGAGGAAGTTCTGATAGCCAAGCTCTAAAGGATAGCCCAGGTCCATGCAGGCCTGAGCCAGGCTCATGGCCAGGTGGAAACGGGCAGACATGGTGAGAGGCAGCAGGGGGCTGAGGCCGCAGCCCACAGCAGGATTGATCACACGCAGGCAGCAGACAACGGCTTCGACAACTAGCTCAGTGGTGAAGGCTCGCAGGGTCTGCACTTCGGGAGGAACTGCCGCGCCGGCCTGGCGCAGGGAATGGATGAGGATTCGGTCTGCCTCCTCCATGGTGAAGCTGCGTCCCAGTCTGGGGCGGGATCCAGGGCTGGGTCCGAGCAAGCGAACCTAGGTCTCAGTTTTCTTAGCCTTCTCAAATATCGGGCGCTATGGGGGCTGGATGAGATAGCAGATGTAAAACCCTCAGCATGCACCCAGTGAGCTTGGGCTCTCCTGCTACTCCTCACCTGCTCATGCCCACGGCCGGGCGTAGAGCAGGCGCTCACGGGGAACTGCTGAGGTTCACTGAAAGACAGGCTGTGAGAGGCTGAATACACACACAGGCAATGGCCAGACCAACTGTGAGATCAGAACTCTGACCCACAACCTGCCCAGGAAGCCAACCCATCTCAACAGTGACAGCTCAGGAAGCTGTCTGTCGTAAGTCAGACTGCTATCGCTATCAACAGTCCTGGAAACCAAACATTGCCCTCTGTAACAAATGGACCCAATGGCCAGGACTTGATTGCTGACAGTTTCCTTAACTTTTTTTTTTAAATATATTTTTATTGATTTCAGAGAGGAAGGGAGAGGGAGAGAGAGATAGAAACATCAATGATGAGAGAGAATCATTGACTGGCTGCCTCCTGCACAACCCGGGCATGTGCCCTTGACCGGAATTGAACCTGGGCCTTTCAGTCCCCAGGCCGACACTCTATGCACTGAGCCAAACCAGCCAGGGCCAATTTCCTTAACTTTTGTCCCCACTTCCAACTGAGCACCAAGCAGAGAAAGCCAAATACACACCCTAACCAATCACACAGGATGCCCCAGGGCCAGCAGGCCTGCCTCCAGGTTCCCCAGGCCAAAGGCCTCCAATCAGGGCACACCCGAAGCCTTCCCTTCCTCCACTGTATAGCTTTCCCTCCCCTCTGCCTGCCTTTGAGTCTCTGCCCACGGCAAGCGCAGAGGATGACTCCCTTGCTAGAGCAGCTCTGAACGAGCAGCCCCTGCAGTGCCCATTTGGGTGGTCTTCGTCCACTCTGCAGGCGTCTCACACACGCGCAGTAAGAAGAGCTGAGTGAGCCCCGGCCGGCTCGGCGCAGTTGGTTGCAGCAGCATCCTGGACACCAGAAGGTGGCAGCATCGACTCCCGGTCAGAGCACATTCCCAGGTTGTGGGTGTGATTCCCGGTCGGGCCGTGTGCAGGGGGCAACCAGTGGATGTTTCTCTCTCACATCGATGTCTCTCTCTCTCCCCCCTCCCTCCTTCACTCTCTGTAAAAATGAACCTAAAAACAATTACATTTTAAAAAAGAAGACCTGAATGATTTGCATGGAGAGGCAGTGGGGAGATGGGGACACAGAAAAAGAGGGAACAAAAGAGCCACAGCTGGACACTGGGACGCACTTGCCCTTTGGACTGATTCCATTTCTGCCACTGTCCTTCCCAGGTCTTTCTTGCTTTTTCTTGTTATAAGATGGGTCAAGGACATAAAGGAGATGGAATCATTTAAAGATGACCTTGCTCTGCCCTGGCTGGTGTTGCTCAGTGGATAGAGCATTGGCCTGTGCACCAAAGAGTCACCAGTTTGATTCTTGGTCAAGGGCACATACCTGGGTAGCAGATTCGATCTCCAAACCCCAGTCAGGGTACATGCAGACCAATCAATGTGCCTCTTTCATGTTGATGTTTCTGTTTCTCTCTTTCTCTCTCTCTCTCTCTCTCTCTCTCTCTCTCTCTCTCCCTCCCTCCCTCGCTCCCTTCCACTCTCTAAAAAAAAAAATCAATGGGCGAGGATAAATAAATAAACAAATAAACAAACAACCAGATACACGGATAAATAAACAAGCAGACTAATAAACGCAAATAAGCAAATAAATAAATAATAAGACTTTGCTCTGAGGGGCCATGAGCCCAGCAGAAGACGGTTCCCAAGCTGCCCACAGGAGACAACTTGGCAGACAGGGAGGTCACAGATGGCTCTCTCCCCAACACCAAAGCAGCCCCCCTCCTTTGTCAGGACACTGGCAGGCTGTGAGGAGCCCAGCAAATCTTATTCAAGCCTCTTCTTCGCACATCAGATGTGAGGGTTTTCTTATTTGAAAGAGTAGCTATGACAAAGGCTGGGACTCAGCGCTATCTCCGTGGGAGCCAGGCTGGTCCTCAGCTCCAGCCCCTTCCTGCTGGGCACACGGCCATCCCTTTGTAATCCAAGGCGTGTGGGGCATCAGGAGCCGCAGCCAGCACAGGAGGGAGTTCAAACTGTACCTTCAACAGACTTCCTACCCGAAGGGTATTGTAATGACTGCATTTCCAGGGCCCAGGCACGATGCACGGGGCTCTAGCACATTTATTTCTCTGACACCCATGGTGGTCCCCGAGAGGGCCTGCTCACTCATCCCGCAAGGCGCTGCCGAATGTCAGATCCTCTGAGCCTTGCTTCCACACCCATCCCGCTGCCCTTGCCACTCTGGGGAAGGTTTTGTTCCTCGGCCCAGCAGCCCCGTGTTTTGTCCACACGAGCGTCACAGCACTCGGTGTTGTTGGCGCGTCTGTTCCGCGACCCTGGGCTCCTTCAGTGGGAGCCTCCCATTGAGCTCGTTTGTTCTGAGCCTCCCACAGGCCTGGACGCAGCAAGAGCGCAGGGCAGAGTTAATGAAAGAAAACGTACAAATGAACTCCTCTCACCCAAAGGAAGCCCCCCTGCCTGGCTGCCCTTCCAGGGGCTCCACCCACTCCCACCATCCACAGTCCATCATTCCCTCCCCCTCTGGAAAGCAAACACCCCATTCCAGCGGGCTGGATACAGCTCTGGAGGACCCGTGAGCTCATGCAGGTGTCCTGGAGAGGCCAGGTGGGCAACCAGGGTGCACTGCTCTGAGACCCCGGGCGGGCACGTCCCTGCTCTCCCTGACCTTCCTTCTCCATCCCTGAAATGAGGGGACGGAAACAGCTCTAATATTTATGGGAGATTCTCCCAACCAGTGGCCCTCAGGATAAATCTAGTGTTTGATCACTTGTATCTTATGTAAAAATATGAGCCCTGTGAGCTTCACTCAGAAACGACTGCACAGACCAAGCCCACATTCTTGCCCTTGTGTCTGCACCTCGCCGGGGGTCTTTCCAGGCCTGCCTGTGGCTCCCTCCTGTGGTTTCCCTAAGAAGCCTAAGATCAGCTGTAGGAGACAGGCTCGCTCGAGTTGCTCTGTTCCACCGTTTCCATTTTACATACGTGTTTCTCTACACAGGCTTTTAGACCCTTTCCATGCTTCTAGCAGATAGAGAATTCTAGAAGGCAGGAAGGTCAGGCTCTTGTGCTCTCCCCAACTCTCCCGCTCCACCACTTTGAAAGCACATGCCACGTGCCCAGGTCGCAGCTCCATCCCAGGCCGGCTGAGTGGCCCTGGACTCTTGCAGAAGGATGGAGGGGCTCCTCTGTGGAGAGGGGGACAAGCACTGCGGTGACACCTGCACCCTGCTGTCTATCCAGAGGAGCCATTTCAAAAGAATCGATAATACCCACCCGCTGGCCTCCTGCCACCTCGCTGCCACGCCCCCCTGTCCACCTGCTCTGTGTGTGCCCAGCAGAGGAAACACCAACATTCTGGAATCTGTCGCTCCTGAACTGAGAGAGCAGCACAATGCCGGATTGGGGGACCAGACGGGGGCTTGTTCAAGTCACCAAGAGATACTTCTGGGCCTCAAGACCCCAAAGACCCCGCTGGCCTGTTCAGAATAAGAGTCACTCCAGGACCCACACCTAGACCATTAGCCAATCTGATTCACAGCCAGCGAGGCAGACACGACAGAGGTTTCTACGCTTCAGGAAGGACACAGGTCCATCCTCAAAGCCTCCCCCTGGCAGAGACTTCCCAGGTGCAGCTGACGGGGCTGGCCCTAGTTGCCCTCCCAAGAGTGTCAGAGCTTGAGGACGAGGGCGGGCCATGCCCCCCTGAGCTAAGCTGAGCTGACCAGGGCCTACCTTGAAGCTGACAGAACGTGGTCATGAACTTGCTGGTGAGGGACTTGAGCTCGTTGTTGGCCAGCGTGATGAGGTGGATCTGGTCGGTGACATTGCGCAGGACCTTGTAGATGCCGATGGGGAAAGAAACCAGCTTGCACTCGGCCAGATCTGCAGCCAAAAAACATAGACAGACCAGAGTCAGCAGCCAGAGCTGCCCGAGGACTTGCCCCAAACCATGTGGACCAGACCTGGTCCACCCTCCCAGCCTCCTTGCTCTCCCGCCTGTCCCCCCTGTGCCAGGCTTGAAACCCTACTCTCTCTCTTCGGGGAGCCTTCATCACCCGTAATCACACTTGTCCCTCTCCATCACCACAGCCTACTAGCCAGAATGTGGAAGGCAGGGTTCTGCCAGCGCAGTGGCGACCAGCATTCATGGCAATGCCCTTGAGGCCCTGCCAAGTCGACAAGTCCCTAAGGAACCGTCAAAGACTCAACAGTGAAGCTGCAGTCTTATGAGTACTTGGTAACAGTCTGCTTCTTTGAAAACAGGCAATTCACATAGACGTTGACCTTCCCAGTCCTGTCACTCTGACAGAAAGAAAGCCTTGTACAAGAGGCAGCAAGGAAGCTGTGTGCAGGCTCGCTGGCCGTTCCTCAAGAATTACCATATGGCCAGCAATTCCACTCGTAGTGTACACGCGGGAGAAATGGAACCAGGTGTCCACACAAAAACACATTACACATGGATGCTCATAGCAGCATTATTCATAACAGCCAAAACATGGAAACAACCCAGATGTCCATCAACTGCTGAAGGGATAAGCAAAATGTGGTATCTCCATAAAAAGGAATAAGTTTAGCAATAAAAAGAAAGGAAGTACCAATACATGCTACAATATCGAAGGACCTTGAAAGCATTATGCTAAGTGAAATAAGCCAGTCACAACGGACCATACAGTGTATGAGACCATTTATATGAAATGTCTAGAATAGCCAAGTATATAGAGGCAGAAAGTAGATGAGTGGTTCCATAAGGCTGGGGGGCATCGAAGGATTGTGAGATGGAGATGAAGTGGTGAAGGTTTCTTGGTGAGGGTAAGCAAATGTTCTAAAATTTGATTGTGGTGATAGCGGCACAAATCCATGAATATACTAAAACCGCTAAATTGTATACTTTAAATGGCTGAATTGTAGGGTATATGAATTATATGTCAATAAAACTGTTTTCTATACATGGCAGCAGGGAGACACTGAAAGTATGAAGGCTAAGAGATGAGGTTCATCTAAGTCATGTAAGTTCCCTGGGCCTCAGTTTCTTCATCTGTACAATGGGTATATCATTATCCACCTAGCAAAGCTGCCAGGAAAAGTAAATGTAATACAAAGTACTAAATGTACTAACAAAGTGCCGGGCAGGAATGCAGAGGTAATGCTACAGATGTTGTTTCTTCTTCCCTAAGTGCCCCCATTACTGGTGACCCCTCCTAACCCCTGAACCCCGAGCCCCAGGAGCACTCACTCACCAACTCAGAAAGTACTGCCCCATCTCCCTCTCAGCAAACTCTTGTCTTTTTCCTAAAGAGGTCAGGCTTCCCCCAGGCCTCTAAGCCTTTGAAGATTGCTCCAAATTAAATATACAGAAATCAATAATATTCCTATATACCAGCAAGAAAAGAAAGTTTATAAAGATCCTACTGTGAACAGCAACAATAATGCAAAGCCTATAGAAACAGTCAGAAGAGAAGCCCTTCTCCCTCATCTGCCTCTTAGAATTTCTACTCTTGCTCCAAGGCCAGCTCAAGTGTCACCTCCTTCACGAAGCCTCCTCTCACTGCAGTTAGATGCTCCAGCCTCTTAGCCTCATATTGTGCGAGTAAAACCTCGTCATCCTGTATTGTACTGCCCCCCTTTTCTTTCTGCTTTCCCCCTGGATTGGAAAGACCACAGAGCGCGGTGCCAGCAGAGGTCTAGCAGGCCTGGAGCAGGGCAGGGTATTGGGGACCTCCCTGAGTTGGTGAGGAAAGAAAGGGGGCACATAGGGTAAAGACAAAAGTCCAGATGACTGAGGGCCACAGGGGTCCTGTAGGGCATCCTGTGAAGAGGTGTCTTACTGCCTCCTCTGGTCCAGGCTGTGCTGAGTGAGCGCAGCCCTGCTGCCATAACCACCAGCTCCTATATCAGGAGGTGAGGATGGCGGAAGAGGATGCGAAGTCTGCAGCGGGGACCCAATCCCAGGAAGCCAGGATTTCAGTAGAGATCAGGGCTGGGACTGGACCAGCTCTGCGGGCTCAAAGTTTGGGGTAGGCTGGGGATTCTGGAAAGAACAAACCCTTCCAAACCACGAGTCCCTAGTGCCTGGTGCCAGAGCACAAATGGCTCCAAGGGACGGCTGTGGTGGCTGTCAATCATATCAGTCCATTGGGTGGAAGCGACAGATCTACAAGCTAAGAGCAACACCAAGGGACACATCAGAAGCTGTCCCTTTAAAACAAAGAGCCACAGAGGATGCCTCCCACCACCTGCATCCCCTAACATGGACTTAGGAGTTCTGTCCAAAGAAACAGAAAACATAAACATTGGAAACAGACAAGATTATCATGATGTGTATTTGCAATGACTGTGTGACCTCAAACACCCGAAGTCATCTGACAACACAAACGAAACAGACTTCAGCAAAGTGGCTGATCCAAATAAACATGCAAAACTCAATGGCATTCTATATGCCAGCAATAAAAATGTAGTTTTTGAGGGTCCTATTCTGAACAGCAACAGTAATATAAAATATACAGTGATAGCAATAATGAAAAAATGGATCTGAATAATATTAAGAAAAGTCAAAGAGTCCACACAAAAATGTTTTTAAAAATTGATTTGTATGTGAAGCTATAACATGTTCATTGATAACAAGTCAAAATAGTAAAATCATGTTGATTTTTAAAGAAATGGATTTATAGATTGCTTATAATGTAATTCCTACTCAAATCCCAAAAGGTTTTTTGTTTTTTTAACTTATGAAATGGTTTTAAATTTCCACTGGAGGAATGAGCAAGCATGACTCTATAAGAAAAAAAGATGGGTGGTAACCAATATTGCAAGGCTATAATTATTTCAAAAGAGGGCCACAGGGAAAATAGATCATAGAAATAAAATATATAGCCCATTTGTTCCATAAGTAATATGTCATAATTTAATAAATGCTAAAGGAGGCCTCACAAAAAAATCAGGAAAGGATTAATAACTGATGTTAGAATAGCCAACCAATTAACAATTTTGGGAAAACAAAAAAAGAGAGACTCTCAATAACCTAAAAATCAAAATAAACTCTACATCAAATTACACTCTAAATATTTTTTAAATCAAAGCAAAAAATACAAAACAAAACAGAATTTAACATTTATACAACCTCTTATGCAAGGAATACTTTTTATATCCAGGAGCTATAAAAGAATCACAAAGGGACAGATCAACAAACCTAACTGTATAAAATACAGTTAGACACCTGGATACAAAAACCAAACAAACAACAATAATACTTGGATGCTTTAAAAATAATAATAATGAGGCAAGCAGCAGATTGTGAAAGAGGAACCAAGACCCTACTGTGTGCCAGGCACTGTTCCACATTGTGTCCGGTGACTTCTCTATGATTCTCTTTTGTTATTGGGGACCCCATCTGTTTCCTCCATCCTTTAACCTCAGAACTGCCTACCAGAGGCCGGTGTACATGTGGGGGGAGGGGCGCACCACAAAGTTCCTACTAAGAACAGTCTGGCTTCCCTTGATGGCAAAGGCCCCCAGAGATTCCTGCAAACATACCCTGCGCCTTACAGGCCATAGCACCAGCCACTAACACAGCACGTGGACTCCAATCCCTGCTGAGAGGCTCTTGGGAATGGTTCTCCATGATCCCTGGGACAAGAACATGGACAGCCAAATCTCCAGACCCGCTGGAACAAATCCCAGCCTTGCCCAGTCATCTTCCCATCTGTGCACAAGAAGAAAACTGCTTCAAGTCCATTCCCTGGGGGGTTGGAACAATAATAACCATAAATAGTAAGAGTTACTATTTCACATGTGCTAGGCTGTGAACATTCTCCCCTCTGAACACATGAAGAAAGCGCAATAAGTGACTGGGTCAAGGCCTACAGCTAAAAAGAAGGGAGTGAATGCAGATTAGGCTGGTCAGGAAGCCAGGGGCCCTAACCATCCTGCTACCCGGCCCCTTGAGTGAAGAACATCCCCAGTGCCTGTCTCTAGGCTGGGCCAGAGAAAGGGGAGTTCCTGCTGAGCCCTTCAGGGGGGTACCGGAGCCTTGGCTTCAGACTCCTACGAGCTTTTCCAGTTCAGGGCCTGTGATTTCGGGGAAAGAGGCCCCTCAGCGTCTTTATGAGCCAGTCACCTTTTGCTCTCAGGAAATTTCTCTCCAGGTCTAATTCAGAGGATGGGTACCATCTACACCCACAATACCTGTTTGCAGTGCAGAAAAGCCCCCTGAGCGGAAGGAACCAAGTTCAATGCTGAGCCCTGGGGCCTACAGGGGCAGATAGCACTGCTTCCAGGGGATACAGTCAGGATGTGCCCCGGGAAGAGAAGACCCAGGCTGGAGGCAGGTGAGTCACCCTCAGGGAGCCGTGAGATGTCTTCAAGAAGAGGGCCCCATCCTCTATGGGTCCTCAGAGCTGACGGGACAGGGAGTGGGTCACCAGTCACAAAGAAAAGGCTCCTGTGTGAGGACGTGAGTGCTGCACTGTGGGGTGTCATCAGGCAGGGTCACCACAGAGCGGATTCCTGAACCAGATGGAGGCCAGGTCATCTCAAAGGTCTCACTCAACCCATAAAACAACTATAGCCAACGTCACTGAGTATTCACTATGTGCCAGGCACAGTACTAGACACTTTTCATACATAAACTCATTAAATTCCCATAAGAACCATGAGTTACCTTCACAGGAGGAAAAATGAGGCTCCTGTTGATAGGTCAATTGTCCAAGGTCATTTTGGTGAGATGGTGGAGTACTAAGGACCCGAATGCAAAGATTCCAGGAAGGTGACCAATTTGTCCCAGTTTACCCAGGATGTTCCCAATTTTAGCACTGACAGTCCTGCATCCCGGGGGACACCTCCTCAGTCCCAGAAAACTCAGGACACTTGGTCACCCTGGATTCAGG